ACACTACTCCCGCCCCCCCCCCACACGCGGTGCCCACTCCCCACCTCCAAGCCAAACTTGTAGTAGAAGTAGTTGAGGAAGTATTTGGCACAGCTGCCGAGGCCGTGGCCAAGGTGCTCGCGGGAGATGTCCTCAAAGATGGTCTCGGTGACGGGGGCCACCAGCTGGTGCTGCTTGCGGTAGTACTCCTGGCGCCGGTACACCACCGCCTCGAACACCAGCAGAAGCAGCACCAGGAGGTGGTTCTGGGGGGAAGACGAAGGGGTACTCAGGACCATGACACGCCACTGAGCATCCCCCCATGTGGTCCCCACAGATGGGATGTCCCCATGCCCACCTGGATGTAGCCCAGGTTGGGGTAGCCCTTGCGGATGCCGAACCAGTTGGCAGGGTCCACGGGGCCACGGTACAGCGTGGAGTTGCCCAGCTCCTCCGGGCTCAGGTTGGTGCTGTTGAGCTGGGGCTGCAAAGGGGAACACCACCGGGCATCAGCACCCCTCGCCTGTGCCACCAGACCCCATCTCCAGCCGCGGACACCCCTCCACGTTGCTGCCATCCCCCCAGCATGGCCGCCCGGGCACCTGGGTGCAGTTGCTGGAGTATTCACTGGGGTTGACAATCTTGAGCTGATAGAGCATCTTACAGACGATGATGATGCAGGTCCAGACGGTGGAGAGGCAGGAGGCCATGTGGCGGAAGCGGCAGTAAGGCATGGCGAAGGTCCACAGCAGCACCAGCAAAAAGTTCATGAGTGATACCTGGAGCAATGGCCGTGTCAGCACCCCGGGGTGCCCGGCTGAGCCCCCCCACCCCGGGGTCCTGAGGCTGGTACCTCCTGCAGGGCCACCCAGACGGTGTAGAGAGCCACCAGCTTGAGGATGTGGAGCTCCAGCAGGCGCCCCACAAAGACCTGCCCACGGGTCAGCATATCCGAGAAGGTCCAGCCCAGCACGATCAGGCGCTCCAGCACCAGCCCCCATTTGGTGGGCACTGTGGGGACACAGACTGTCACAGGACACCTCTGCAGCCACCCTGGCTTGGACAATGCTCCAACCCATCCCAGTATCATCCCACACTTGGAGGACACCCCGATCCATCCCCATAACCTCCCATGCTTGGAGGTCACCCCAAATCCATCTCCCTACCCTCACAGCCCCTTCCTGGCTTGGAGGATATCCCAATTATCCCCATGCCCTCCAAGCTCCTTCCTGGCTTGAAGGACACCCCAATCCATCCCCGTACGCTCCCAGCCCCTTCCTGACTCAGAGGATACCCCAATCCATCCCCCCAGCCTCGCAGACTTGGAGGACACCCCAATCCATCCCTGCATTCCCCCAACCCATTCCTGGCTTGGAGGATGCCCCAACCCATCCCTCTAACCTCCCACATTTGGAGGACACCCCAAATCCATTTCCCTACCCTCCCAGCCCCTTCCTGGCTTGGAGGGATGCTCCAATCCATCTCTGCATGCCCCTCAGCTCATTCCTGGCTGGGAGGACACCCCATCTCACCCTGTCCCCCTGGTCCCTGCCCAGTACCCTGTGACATGGTGTCGGCGTCGCCCGTCTCGGCGCTGTCGGCAGCCGCCGCACAGCAGCCGGCTCCCGTGCAGCTCCTCAGGCCTGCGGGGTGGAGGGCTCAGCACGGGGACAGGGTGTCAGGGTGCAGGAGGAAGGGGGGGTCACCCCAGCACGGGGTCCTCCATGGGAATGTGGCAGGGGGATGGGGTGGCAGCGGGGATGTGCTCCAGGTCAGTGATGTGCATGAACGGACGGTGGAAGTAATGGAGCTGGAGGATGCAGGCCAGGAGGAAGAAGCCCGGGATGAGGGTGCTGGAGAAGAGCTCGGAGACGCTGAACTGCTCCAGACCCAGGTCACCCAGCCTAGGCAGGGAGGGGACGGTCAGCAGGGGGCCGCATCCATCCCACCCTGCATGGGCATGGAGCCGGCACGCCGGGGTGCAACCCCAGCTCCCCCCGTGCCTCAGTTTCCCCGTGTGCAACGCATCCCTTGGCCATGCCCTGGTGCCACCATGGGGCTGGTGGCGGCAGGGACCCCATGGTGGGTCAGGGACACTCACTGCTCATCAGTGAGGCCTGTCAGGTTCCTCCAGTACATGGGGAAGTCCTCAAACTGGAAGGTGTAGACGGCGATGAGCACCAGCATGGTGTACGCCACCACCAGCCACCAGAAGCCCTTCAGCACCTTGCGCCACAGGCTGTAGTACACCTGCGGGGACAAGAACATCAACGGGGCCACACCAGGGATGGGGATGGGGATGGGGATGGGAAAGGGTCTGTGGCACCCTCTACCTGGAAGAGGGTAAGGCAGAGGAGGAAGAGGAACATGTAGACGATCTTGTAGACAACGAGGCGCCCGGCGAAGCTCACCACGATGAACATGCCGGCGCAGACGCAGATCCAGTATTTGGCGTAGAAATCCCGCACCAGGTCCCCCAGTGCCTTCAGCACGTCCCGCTGCCGGCTGGGCTCTGCAAGGCAGGGATGGGGCTGCAGGCAGCCGGGCTGGGGACACACGTGTCCCCCAACATCTCCGGCAGCTGCCTGCATCCGGCACTCGCGCCCCAGGGATGCTCAGCCCGGAACAGGGTCCCTCTAGGTGGGTGACGCTGGGAGCTCTCACCCGTGTCCGAGATGGTCACCTCCAGAAGCGGGGTGGCCGGGCACCTCCTTGTTAGCAGCTTCTCCTTAACGAACTGCCGCAGCAGCAGCCAGAAGGTGAGGGTGAGCAGGAGCTGTGGGGACAGGCGGTGAGCAAGGACAAGCCGAGCGCCAGCGGGGAGAGGGACGGCGACACCGGGCTTACCTTGGCCCCTAGGTCCAAGCAGGGATATTTGGGGTGCTCCAGCCCCAGTTGCTTGAGGCTCATGAAGCCGACGCGGGTGGGCAGCTCGGGGGCCAGGTCCATGCCCCAGACGTACTGCAGGCTGCAGAGAGCGATGCCGTAGAGGAGGAGGAAGGGCGAGCAGAGCATGGCGAAGTGATGCCGGCTCCGTACCGTCCAGATGAGGCATGCCCAGAGCAGCAGCACGAAGGTCAGCCAGCTCTGGTAGGTGATGCTCCACACCTGCGGGAAGGGAGGACGCAGCCGTTCACCCGGGCTCAGTCCGGGAGGTGCCCCCCAGCCCGTGTCCTTCATCTCCCCAGCCCCTTACCATCATGGCGATGAGGGCGCAAACGTAGCTCTGGTTCATGACGACGTGGCCCAGGGCGTGCAGGGCCAGCCGCTCCGCCGGACGCCTCCTGCCTGGCCGTGGGAAAGGGGACCGTGAGCTGCCCTCCGGGCCATGGGCAGTCCTTGGGGAGGGGGAGGCGGTAGGGACGGCCTTACCCGGCTGCGGCGAGTTGCCCATAACGTGGACGGTGCAGTTCTCAGCGCCGCTGCCTGGCTTCCCGGTGCTGGGGGACAGCATGGGCTGGGGGGGTAGAGAGGGCTCAGAGCTCACCCCGGCACCCCCAGGGCACCCCACAGCACA